AGGACACCATGTTACATTTAGTTGTCATATTCCCATAGGTTCCTCTGGCTGTGACAGTTTATCAAACTTTCCTTGCTTCTGATACATTGGAAGTTTTGAGGAATACTAGTTAGGGATTTTGTAGAATGTCCCTCAAATGAGACTGATCTGATATTTTTCTCATAATTATGGGTTAATGGGTTTTGGGGAGGAAGATCACAGAAGCAAAGCACCATTTTCACCAAATCATATCAAGTATAATACTACAAACATAAATTTTCACTGATGAAGTTAACTTGATCACCTAGCTGAGGTAGTAGGTCAGATTTCTCCGTTGTAAAGTTACTCTTTTTTCCCCTTTCCATACTGTGTTCTTTGGAATGAAGTCATTATGCACAGTCCACATGCAAGGACTGGAGAGTTATAATGCACCTCCTTAAGGGTGGAGAATCTACATACATTATTTGGAATTCTACTATATAGGAGATTTGTTTATTCTCCCCATTTATTAAATCATTTATTTATATCATGTTTTTCTGGATATTTACTTTATATGCTGGGTTATAATCCAACATGATGTTATGTATTTGGTTGCTTAAATTGTTCAGTGCTATTAGGAGCTTTTTCAGCCGGCTCCTGTATCCTTTTTGACTCACTCCCATCATTGTGGGCTTTTTAAAAATTGAGATGTAGGGGCCCCGGGTGACTCAGTCAGTTGGGCTTCCAACTCTTGGTTTCGGTTCAGGTTGTGATCTCACAGGTCGTGAGATAAAGCCCCACATTGGGCTCCATGTTCAGCGGGGAGTCAGCTTGAAGATTCTCTCCCTCTGCCCCTCCCATTTGTGCATGTGCTCTAAAATACATAAAATTTGAGGTGTAATTGACATATAACATTTTATTAGTTTTAGGTGTACATACAATGAATTATGTATATATTGTGAAATGATTACCAAATCAGTGTAATTAATATCCATCACCACACATAATTACAAAATTTCTTCCAGTGATGAGAACTTTAAAGATTTATTCTCTTAGCAACTTTCAAATATACAATAATGTCAACTATAGTTACCATGCTGCACATTATTTTCCCACAACTTACTTATAACTGGAAGTTTGTACCTTTTGACCACCTTCATCCATTTCACCCACTCCCAACTCCTTGCCTTTGACATCCACCAATTTATCCTGAGTTCATTTTTTTTTTTTTTAGATTCCACATATAAGTGAAAACACACAGTATTTGTCTTTCTCCAACTTCTTTCATTTAGCATAGTGTCCTCAAAGTCTATCGATGTTGTTGCACATGGCAGTATTTCCTTCTTTGTGGCTGAATAATATCCCTGTGTATGTGTAACATTTTTTTTTAAAGATTTTATTTATTTGACAGAGAGAGACACACAGCGAGAGAGGGAACACAAGCAGGGGGAGTGGGAGAGGGAGAAGCAGGCTTCCCGCTGAGCAGGGAGCCTGATGTGGGACTCGATCCCAGGATTCTGGGATCACGACCCAAGCCAAAGGCAGACACTTAATGACTGAGCCACCCAGGCGACCCTGTAACATTTTCTTTATCCAGTCATCTGTGGATGGACATCTAGGTTGTTTCTATGTCTTGGCTACTACAATAATACTGCAGTAACCATGGAAGTGCAGTTATCTTTTCAAGATAATGACTTTGTTTCCTTTGGTTAAATACCCAGAAATGGAATTGCTGGATCATATGGTAGTTTTTAATGTTTTGAGGAAACTCTTTACTGTTTTCCATAGGGGCTTCACCAATTTACATTTCCAACAACAGTGCACAGTCCACACTCATAGGGTTATTTCCCCAACACTTGTTATTTCTTGTCTTGATAACAGCCATACTAACAGGTGTGACAGGATATCTCATTATAGTTTTGATTTGCATTACCCTGATGATTAATGATGTTGAGTACCTTTCCATGCACTTATTGGCCAATTATATATCTTCTTTGGAAAAAAATGTCTATTCAGTTCCTCTGTCCATTTTTTAAAAATTTTTATTTGAGAGAGAGAGAGTGAGAGAAAGAGAGCACATGAGAGGGGGAAGGGTCAGAGGGAGAAGCAGACTCCCTGCTGAGCAGAGAGCCCGATGCGGGACTCAATCCTGGGACTCCAGGATCATGACCTGAGCCGAAGGCAGTCGCTTAACCAACTGAGCCACCCAGGTGCCCCCTCTGTCCATTTTTTAAGTTGAATTTTTTCCTATTGAGTTGTGAGTTCTTTGCATAATTTGGATATTAAACCCTTACAAATATATAATTTGCAAATGTTTTCTCCCATTCTGTAGATTGCATTTTCATTTTGTTGGTTTCCTTTGCTGTGCAGCGTTTTTGATACATCCCACTTATTTAATTTTGCATTTGTTGCCTTTGCTTTTGTGTCAAATCCAAAAAATCGCCAAGACTAATGCCAAGAAGTGTATCTCCTATGTTTTCTTCTAGTTTTATGGTTTCAAGTCTTATGTCAAGTCTTTCATCCATTTTGAGTTGATTTTGCGTAGAGTATAATTTCATGATTCAGCTTCATTCTTTTGCATTTGGCTGTCCAGTTTCCCCAGCATCATTAAAGAAACCATCCTTTCCCCATTGTATATTCTTGGCTCCTTTGTCATAAATTGTACATAGAGTGTGGGATTATTTCTGGGCTCCATTCCAGTCATCTATGTATCTATTTTAATACCAATACCATAATGTTTTGATGGCTGTAGCTTTGTAATAGTTTGAAATCAGGAAGTGTGAAGCCTCAAACTTTGTTCTTCTTTCTTAAGATTGCTTTGGCTCTTCAGTCTCTTGTGATTCAATACACATTTTAGGATTCTTTGTTCTATTTCTTTGAGAGATGCCATTAGAATTTTTTAAAGGGATTGCATTGAATTTGTAGATTACCTTGGGTAGTATGGACATTTAAACAATATTAATTCTTCTAATAAATGAGCACAGAATATCTTTCATTTGTGTCTTCAATTCTTTCATCACTGTTTTATACTTTACAATATACAGGTCTTTCACCTCCTTGGTTAATTTATTCCTAGGTATTTTCTTTCTCATGCAATTGCAAATGGGATTGTTTTCTTAATTTCTTTCAGTTCATTATTCACATATACAAACACAATTGATTTTTGTATATTGATTTTGTATCCTGCAACTTTACTAATTTCATTTATTCTAACAGATTTTTGGTGGAGTCTTTAGGGTTTACTATACATGTCATTTGCAAATAGGGACAGTTTTACTTCCTCCTTCCCAATTTGATGACTTTTATTTCTTTTTTTTGCTTACTGATTTTAACCTAGGACTTCCAATACTATGTTGAATAAAAGTGGTGAGTGTGGGCACCTTTGTCTTGTTTCTGATCTTAGAGAAAAAACTTTCAGCTTTTCACTGTTCGGTACGTTTTTTGTTTTTTGTTTTTTTTTAAAGATTTTATTTATTTGACAGGGAGAGAGACAGTGAGAGAGGGAACACAAGCAGGGGGGAGTGGGAGAGGGAGAAGCAGGCTTCCCGCGGAGCAGGGAGCCCGATGCGGGGCTCGATCCCAGGACTCTGGGATCATGACCTGAGCTGAAGGCAGACGCTTAACAACTGAGCCACCCAGGTGCCCCCTGTTCAGTACAATGTTACCTGTGGGTTTGTCATATATGGCTTTTATTAAGTTGAGGTACATTCCCTATATGCCCACTTTGTTCAGAATTTTTATCATGAATGAATATTGACTTTCATCAAACGCTTTTCCTGAATCTACTGAGGTGATCATATGATTTTTATTCTTCATTTTGTTAGTGTGGTGTATCACATTGATTTGTAGATGGTGAACCATCCTTTCAATCTGGAATAAATCCCATTTGATCACCGGGTATGATCTTTTTAATGTATTGCTGAATTTGATTTGCTAATATTGTATTGAGGATTTTTGCATCCATATTCATTAGGGATATTTGCCTATAATTTTCTTTTTTTGTAGTATCCTTGTCTGGTTTTGGTATCAGGGTAACACTGGCCTTGTAAAATAAGCTTGGAAGTATTCCCTCCTCTTCTATGTTTTGGAAGAGTTTGAGAAGGTGTTAGTTCTTTAAATGTTTGGCAACAATTTTTTTTTTTTATTGTGTCATCTGAGGATTCATGGGTTTCTTCAGCACTGAGAAATTCTCAAATGTTAACATTCTTCTTACCTCCTCTCCTCATTCACTCTATGGATTCTCTGGAATTCTGATTACAAATAAGTTGGCACTTCTCATTCAATGATACTGCCTCATGGCCTCTCATAGTTTCTATCTCTATACATCTAAATTATCTTCTCTTTAACTTCCTCTAATTGTTAAATTACTCATTCTCCCTCCCTGCCCAGGTCTATCAAATCAGTTAACTGCTTTAAGGTCTGTCATTTTTCAAACCTGTCTAGTGTGTGGGGGAGAGAGGGAAAGGGAGAAGCAGACTCCCCACTGAGCAGAGAGCCCAACACGAGGCTCAATCCCAGGATCCTGAGATCATGATGTGAGCCGAAGGCAGACGCTCAACCGACTGAACCACCCAGGCACCCCACAGTCTAGTGTTTTTAATAGTATTTGCTTTCCCTTTGTTTTTTTAAAATCTATTTCAATTATCATTTTAACAACAATTACAGTATAATCTCCAAGCAGTAGTTCTATTTCCTGACAGGAGTAAGCATAGCCTGGAAGTGTTGGGAAATGAATGGATAACAAAGATGTAGAAAAAGCGAGTGGATTTTTGCTCCCCTCAGGCCCAAGAGGGAGTGCCACTAACATTATATGCAGAGAGGTTAAGAGCAAAAATTATTATATTTGGGGGCGCCTGGGTGGCTCAGTTGTTAAGCCTTGATTAAATTTATTCCTAGGTATTTTCTTTTTCATGCAATTGCAAATGGGATTGTTTTCTTAATTTCTTTCAGTTCATTATTCACGTATACAAACACAATTGATTTTTGTTTGTTTAAATAAACAAAATCTTTAAAAAAAATTCTTATACTTGGAATACCAAGGAAGTAAATTCAGTCTCTTACTCAGTCAGACCAAGCTATACTCAAGAAATTCCTGGTCCTGATGTGGATCCCCAGAATCTTTCCTTGTTATAAGGGAAGCTGTGAGTCTCCTTTGTCAAAACTTTGAGGGAGAATGAATATGGCATATGCATGAAGGAGAGAACATGGCTAATTTCTGTCTCCACTCCAGAAAGAGACTGCAATCCCTGGTGCTGAAGGAAGGAGTGGCTGTTATCCAGACTTGCTCAACATATTTGGACTGTAGAGGGGCTTTTTCAAATAAGTCAGTTTGGGAGATAGAAGTCAAGACTATTCTCTCATGAACCTAAAAATGTATATATTTTTTACAGTATGCACTGTCAAGGTTTCTGAAGAGACTGAGATTTTACCCTATGTGATGGCTATTGAGCTAGCCTATTACTGTTCTATGGAAGCTGGCCGAAGACACGAGATTTCTGGTTGAAAACAAAGGACTTTACTCATGGCACACCAAGAAACTTGAGCTTCTTGTTTGTGTCAGTTCTCCATGCCCCCAAAGTCCCAGAGGCATGAAGCAGGTGGCTCTAGACAGATGCCTACCCACAAGGTGGTGGGTTATGTTACAGGTGAGCAACACTGACCCTAAGGAGCATGCTACTTTCTAACAGCCTATGAGCAAGCCTCTTTGTCTAGAATGAGACATTTCCTTATGCCTCAAACTTACTTGCTGCAAGCACAACCCTGAGAATGTCCTGATAAAAGGTAGTTAGAGATTTGTCGTTTTCGTATACACAGTGTAAGTTTGCTAGCACCGCCGTAACAAAAATATCACTGACTGGGTGGCTTAAACAACGGAAATTAATTTTCTCACAGTTTTGAAAACTAGAAGTCCAAGATCAAAGTGTCAGAGTTGATTCGTTCTGATGACTCTCTCTCTGGCTTGCCGATGGCTGCCTTCTTGCTGTGTGTTCACATGGTCATGTCTCTGTGTGTCCAAATCTCTTGTTATATAAACATCAGAGAGATTGGGTTAGAGCTCACCCTAAGGGTCCTTATTTTAACTTAATCACCCCTTTATTTTTTTTTTTTTAAGACTAGAGAGAGAGAGAGGCAAAGGAAGAGGGAGAAGCAGGCAGCAGGGAGCCTGATGTGGGGCTCAATCCCAGGACCCTGGGATCATGACCTGAGCTGAAGGCAGACACTTAACCAGTTGAGCTACCCAGGCACCCCTTAAACTCCTGTTTAAAGGCCTTATCTCCAAATACAGTCACATTCTAAGGTAGTGAGGGTTAGGGCTTTGTGATTTTTTTAAAATTTTTTGGCAGAGGGGGAGCACAATTCAGCCCAAAACACTCAGCAATAATATGCAGAGTTGTTCAGGGTCCAAGACAGATTCTCACCCAACATGCACATACATGGGAACAGTGCAATGAATTTTCCTAAGCTAAACAATCTTTTGTAACCAGCACCCAGATTAAGAGTAACATCATTACCAGCACCTTTAAGGTTCCCTTTCATGATTTCCTCCAGTCACTACCTTTGAAGGAAACCTCTGTCCTAATTTATTAGAGCATAAATTAGTTTCCCAATATGTACTTTTAGAAAACATAATTGAAATTATATATTACATAGTCCTGGTATCTGGTTTCTTTTTCTCAACACTCTTCTTTGGGGGATTCATATACATTGCTGACTGTAGTTTTAGATGATTCATTGTCATTGCTGTATATTATTCTATTGTGTAAATATACCAGAATTTATCCATTCTACGGTTGATGGGCATTCAGGTACTTTCCAACTTTAGACTCTAATGTAAGGGGCTACTATGAATATTCTAGTATATCACCTTTGATAAATATATGTATGCTTTCATGGACTTCTGCAACTCATGTCTGCCTGCCTCAAAGATCTGCACAAAAAAGGAACCTTAAGGAATGATCAGCTATCATGATTCTGAAACCTATATATCAGGTGAATTACTGATTTTACTTTTGCAAATCTGCTATACTTGTATTTTTCAAGGACTGTTGTTATGGATGGAATGTTTGTGTCCCCAGCCCCAAATTCGTATGTTGAAGCCCTTACTGCAATGTGATGGTATTTGGAGACAGGGCCTTTGAGAGGTAATTAGAATTAGATAGGGGTCATGAAGGTGGGGTCCTCATAATGAGACTAGTGCCCTCATAAGAGATACCAGAGAGCATGCTCTCTCTACCATGTGAGAACATAGCAAGAGGGTGGCCTTCTGCAACCTAAGGAGGAAGTACTTACCCTGAAACCAAACTGACTGGCACTGTGATCATGGACTTCTAGCCTCCAAAACTCAGAAAATGAATTTCTGTTGTTTCAAGCCAGTCCACGGTATTTTGTTAGAGTAGCCTAAGCAGACTAACACAATTAGAAACATTTATTTTCTTTCATTAGACTTCCTATGTAGCCTTGCTCCACAAAGTAACTAGCGGCTCCAACCAGACAGGTAGTGTATTTCCCTATCACATAAAAGTCTGGAGAAACTATATGAATATGACAAATATGTGATGGCCATATGCAGGCAATAGCATATGGGAAGAAAGGAAGAAGAAAAGGAGTAAAGGATCTGAACAAATGCTTTCAAGAAAGTTACCCAGAAACTGCTAGAAAATTCCAGTGTCAGCCTGTTGATTATAATTTGTTCTGTGGCTACACCCAGCAGCAATAAATGAAGTCCCTCATCTGAATGGTCATTACACCAAATAACAACTGGAATATTACCTCAAAGGAGGAATATAATGAATTCCACACAGGTTATAAGTAAGACTGTTTACTATGGGAGCCAAAGATATAGTTTTAAGTTTGGTTAAATGGAACTAAGCACAGTGGGACTCAGTGATTTCCTGGAGACTATTACTGGTGGAAAGACTTACTGAATTCAACCAAGATCCTGGAACTGAGGACATAAAGGTTCACTTCCAGAGCATTTGAAAAAAACCCAGTCATCTTCTTCCATTTCCCTCCCCAGTTTCACCTCTCATCACACAACAGCCAAACTTTGGTGTCTAATGCTGTTCTCTAGTTTATATAAGGAGAGAGGCTGATTCCCTGTTTCAGGGCAAAATTGAAAGTAAACAGGCAAAAGGACAGGTCTAAACATACATTTTCAAAAAATGTAATGCTTTCAAGGAAGTCATGGACAGTGCTAAAGAAAAAGGAGTCAATGTAATGGAACTGCTTCAGGTGAAGTTCCATTTTAGTACAAAATGACAATATTTTATTATTTTATTTTATAAGATTTTATTTATTTGAAAGAGAGAGAGAGAACGAGTGGGACGGAGCAGAGGAAGAGGGAGAGGCGGACTCCCTGCCAAGCAGGGAGCCCCATGCAGAGCTTGAACCCAGAACCCTGGGATTATGACCTAAGGCGAAGGCAGATGCTTAACCAACTGAGCCACCCAAGCACCTCAACAATATTTTAATAATCAGGCATAAAATGATAACATTAAAATGAGAGGGTTAGAAAAAAGTTAATATAAAAATGTACAAAATAGTTATGATATAAACATGTATAGTAAGTTACATGTATTGTACTGTTCACATCAATAAGTTAGAGTGTTAATACAAACAGGTATACTTTTTTGTTCTCATCAGTTGTCTATTAATTAATTAGTTAATATCTGAGGAGTGAATGCCCCAGACTGCAAGTTTAATTTGGTTTTGTTTAGCCAAGAGACTTAATTTTTTTTAAATATTTATTTATTTATTTGAGAGAGAGAGGGAGCATGTGAGCAAGTGGGGGGAATAGCAGAGGGAGAGAGAGAATCTTGAGCAGACTCTCCACTGAGTGCAGAGCCCAAGATGGGGCTCAATCCCACAACCCTGAGATCATGACCTGAGCTGAAACCAAGAGTTGGATGCTTAACTGACTGAGCCACCCTGTGGCACCCCTTGATTAATTTTTTAAAGTAGACTCTATGACCCAAATGGGTCTTGAACTCATGACCGTGAGATCAAGAGTTGCATGCTCTACTGACTGAGCCAGCCAGGTGCCCTATCATCAGTTGTCTGTTAAGAAAGTGAAGATAACCATTTCTAATTTTGTTAATCTGTGTAAATAGGGAGGGAAACAGGAATTCCAAGCAGGCATGAAAGCAATAAGAATTGTACTAAGAAAAGGAAAAATGGATCAACACTGATGATCATTCAGAATAACCACACAGAAGGAGGTCCAAAAGGTCATCAGTATGAGGCATGTCACAAACAGTAACTAAATAGATATAGGATTCAATAGCATTCCAAAAAGAAAAAAAAAATTGCCAAACATCCTTAAGAGACTATACAACAACAGGCTAAATCATTCATCTCTCAGGAGTTGAAATATTTATCAATTATTTTTAAAAGAACAATTACTTTTAATAAGAAGCAAAACAGGGGGGCCTGGGTGTCTCAGTCGTTAAGTGTCTGCTTTGGCTCAGGTCATGATCCCGGAGTCCTGGGATCGAGTCCCGCATCGGGCTCCCTGCTCTGTGGGGAGTCTGCTTCTCCCTCTGCCTGCTGCTCCCCCTGCTTGTGTTCCTTCTCTTGCACTGTCTCTCTCTCTGTCAAATAAATAAATAAAAACTTTAAAAAAAAAATAAGAAGCAAAACATTTTAAAAAGCAAACTGGCACATTTAATATACTATAATAATGGGGAAAAATCACACAAAATTTTAGTTAACAAGAACTGATTATGCTGGGGCGCCTAGGTGGCTCAGCTGTTAAGTGTCTGCCTTCAGCTCAGGTCATGATCCCAGGGTCCTGGGATCGAGACCCGCATCGGGCTCCCTGCTCAGCGGGAAGCCTGCTTCTCCCTCTCCCACTCCCCTTGTTTGTGTTCCCTCTCTCACTGTCTCTCTCTTGGTCAAATAAAATTATTTATTTAATTTTATTTAATATCTTAAAAAAAAGAAAGAACTGATTATGCCTTAAATATCCTACAAGTTAATCAGCCAATCTTTATAATTAAAAGAGACCCAAACTTTAAGCTGGTATAAGTTCAAATTGGAATGTTACAATGTTATTACGTTAAGTGTTATCCCCATGGCAATCACAGAGAAAATAGCTTTAGAATACAAACAAAAATAAGTGACAAGGAAATTAAAACACTTCATTGCAAAATAGTAACTAAACACAAAAGAAGACAATAATGCAGAAAATGAGGGACGAACTATAAGGCAAATAGAAAACAAATAGCAAAGTGACATAAATAAGTCCTTTATTAGTTATTACTTTAAATATAAATGGAGTAAACTCTACAATCAAAGACAGTTTGGCAGAATGGATAAAAAAATTATTGAACAAGAGACTTACTTTAGACTCACCAGAGACACAAACAAGTTGAAAGTGAAAGGCTGGAAAAAAATACTCCATGCAAACAGTAACCAAATGAAAGCAGGGATGCTAGAAATAAACTAGTCACAAAAATACAAATGGTGTATGATTCTATTTACCAAGAACTGTTCAAATCTTAGAGACAGAAAGTAGAATGATGGCTGCCATGGGTTAGGAGGAGGTGGGAATAAGGAGTTATTGTTTAATGGTTATAGAATTTCAGTTTTGCAAGATGATGAGTTCTAGAGATAGACGGTGGTGATGACTGTACAACAATATGAATGTACTTAATACCACTGAACTGTACACTTAAAAATTTATGTTAAGACAGTAAATTTTACTGCCTTAACATAAATTTTATATTATGTGTACTTTACCATGGTTTGAAAATGTGTTATCAGATGAAAAAAGAAAAAAGACCTAAAGGAGTTCAGGATCACATTGACTCTGACCAGTCCCGATAATCTGACCAAGAAACAACTAGGTGATCATTCAGATCCTTCTACCTTGTTTGTCAGGTAAGAATGCTCAAACTATAAACTATAAAACCTTTCCCTGGGGCGCCTGGTGGCTCAGTCGTTAAGTGTCTGCCTTCGGCTCAGGTCATGATCCCAGGGTCCTGGGATCGAGCCCCACATCGGGCTCCTTGCTCCGTGG